TATGCAGTTCCATTTATGGGGTGTTCCAGACAGCCAGAATGAGTATGGTAGAAATGAATAATGGTTTGCTTCTGGACATAGTGATTGAGTGGAGGAGGAGAGGCGAGGAAAGTGGTGTTCTTTCTTACTAGGGCTGTTGAAACATTGCTAAATTGAGTGGCTTGGGACACACTCAATTTAGCAGTGAAATGAAAGGCCTTTGTTTCTCTCAGAAGGCTGCAAGTCTGAGGTCAGGACCAACAGGGTTAGTTCTGAGAGGCCTTTTTCTTCAGGGGTGGTAAACTTACGGGCCCACCTGGTGGAGGAGGAGTGGGCAGAGCTGTTGTCCACCGAGTCCCAGCAAGTGTCCCAGGAGAATGCACAGACTCTTAACACTATGTGCTATGTGCTGATGTTTGTGTGCTCCAAAAACATCTTAGGTTGAAACCTCTGTAGGGATGAGACTCGCAGTTGAGACCAATCAGGGTGCATTCTACTCCAAAAGAGCAAATTCTAAACTCTTAACTAAAACATTTAAGAATAAAGTATGCAGTATCAACAAGATTTTTTAAAAACTTGTACTGGGGGCTGGCTCCAGGGGCTTCACACTGAGCTATATTCTCATATTTTGATTTGCTTGTTAGAGACAATCTTGCTGAGTTGCCAGAGCTGAGCTCAAACTTGTGATCTTCCTGATCTTCCTGCCTCAGCTTCCCAGAGTGCTAGAATTACAGTTGTGTAGCTTAGTTTTTTGTTTCGTTTTTTAAAATGGATTCTTGATTCGATAGAAGAATGAATCAATGTCTGATAAAGAATATGGTAAAATGTTAAATGTTATTTGAAGTGTAACCTCACTGAATAATCCCTTCAATTGTGTCTATATTTTAATGGTTTTATAAGATGGAAAAAAGTGTCCAGATTGTATTCATAGTTTTTAAAACAGTGATGAATATACATGAAATGTGTAACATTTTAAATTCCTCCTTACTGTAAGGACACCAGTGAGGTGATGTTACCATTTGAAATAGAAGCTGATAAATCAGACCTGCATGTGCAAATACTCTTGCTAGCGTGAGAACCTGACAGAGTAAATAAACTGAAAGACACAATAGATGCCGTGAAAGAGAAAGAATCTGCTCGAAGGGAAGGGAAACTGGGAGGAGGAAAAAGATGAAACAAGGGGAAGATATGTTTATGTTAATGTACAGGATACCTGGAATAATGGTACTGCTGATTTCTGCTGGTCTATTGAAAGAGCAGTTAATGCTTATTTTTTTCTTTTTAATTTCTTGTAACTTTTTTAAAAACCAATTTCCCATGTTTATATCTGATAATTTAAATAACTAATTTGAAGATAACATACAATACGACCGTTGTTGAATTGCTGTTATTTAGTGAAATTCTTCATTGTTTCTAAAGTTTTGGGTTTGTTTTTTACTATTTTGTATTCTTTAAAAAGCAAAGCCAGGGGCTGGCGAGATGGCTCAGTGGTCTAAAGCACCTACTTGGAACAAGCTTGGCAAAGCACAGGGACTGCGGTTCGATCCCCCAGCACCACATGCCAGCCAGCCGCGCCCCCTGGTGGGCTGAGCTGGACACACACACACACACACACACACACACACACACACACAATAAATAAACTTTAAAAAAAAAAAAAAGCCAAGTTCATGTCCACGCATATTC